AGAGACTGAGAAATTAAATATATGTGTTTTATTTTCTTTAGCTATGAGCCAGCCGTGTGCTGCAGCTGCCAAAAAAGCCAACACAGTTCTAGGCTGCATTAACAGAAGGATAGAATCAAGATCACGTGAAGTGTTAATACCACTTTACAATGCCTTGGTAAGGCCACACTTGGAATCCTGCATCCAGTTTTGGTCACCATGATGTAAAAAAGATGATGAGACTCTAGAAAGAGTGCAGAGAAGAGCAACAAAGATGATTAGGGGACTGGAGGCTAAAAAATATAAGGAACGGTTGCTGGAATTGGGTATGTTTAGTTTAACGAAGAGAAGGACGAGGGGGGACATGATAGCCGTCTTCCAGTATCTCAGGGGCTGCCACAAAGAAGAGGGAGTCAAGCTATTCTCCAAAGCACCTGAAGGCAGGACAAGAAGCAACGGGTGGAAACTAATCAAGGAGAGAAGCAACTTAGAACTAAGGAGAAACTTCCTGACAGTTAGAACAATTAACCAGTGGAACAACCTGCCTCCAGAAGCGGTGAATGCTCCAACACTGGAAGTTTTTAAGAAGAGACTGGACGGCCATTTGTCTGAAATGGTATAGGGTTTTCTGCCTGAGCAGGGGGTTGGACTCGATGATCTCCAAGGTCCCTTCCAACTTTATTATTATTATTATTATTATTATTGTTGTTGTTGTTGTTGTTGTTATCTGAGGTATCACCATTGTTCCTGCCCACTGCAACCTACCAGATATTTCTTCTGTACAGCTCAATCATCACATCCAGTGAAATCTTGGCTGCAGTTGGGTTGCTGTCTTGCAGCATTGTGTACATGAAACTCTGAAGCATCTGCAAAAAATAAAAAAATAAAAAATAAAAAGGAGACACTGTTTTTTGAGGAAGAGTCGCCTGGAGCTATCCAACTTAAAAGCTGATGGAAGGAGCCGAAAACTTACCGTGTTCATTCTGTTGTTCTTGTGTTTGGCATTGACGTTCTTGATGTCGGTAACGATGTGAGTGTATAATGTCTGTCGAAATAAGAAAGGTAAATTTCAGTACGAATAGCTTCTTTGAGGAAAAAAAATGAACAGAAGCAGAAACTCCATGATGGATCAAATCTCAGATAGATAAGATTTCTCGTCATTTGTCTGTGTGTGCAATGGCACACATTAAAATGAAATTCCGATCCAAAAGAATCACACCCATACACCTATACTGGATCTGTATGTATGTATATACCAGTGATGGCAAACCTTTTAGAGACCGAGTGCCCAAAAACTGGCCCCGCCCCTGCTCCGCCCCACCCCGTTCCCCACCCCACCTGCCCGCAGGGCCACTCACCGCCTCCAGGGCCCACCGCAGATTGCCCAGGCAGTCCAGCAGTGCCATGGCCACACCCTCTGCCCGCACCCCACAGCATCAACTGTGGGGGATGGGGCATGAGGGCAGAGTCTTGTCTACGCTGCCTGATTGCCATGACCTTGGCAACCCTGCTCCGTGTGGGCCACGCTCGGGGGCGACTTTCCTCCAGGGGGGGCTGTTGGTGAGGAGGGGGTCATGGGGGGAGGCGAGGCTGGGGCAACGGCACGTGTGCCCACAGAGAGGGCTCCGAGTGCCGCCTCTGGCACCCGTGCCATAGGTTCGCCACCACTGGTATATACAGTAGTGGCCAAAATTGTGGAAACCTTTTGGGGAAAAGTGTACAGTAGAAATGCCACCTTTGGTTAAGCTTCCACCAATTTTTCTTCTAATTTCTTTATAACTGTAGCCTTGTTCACTTAATAATACTATTTTATATCACTTTCTGGGTGACCAGTCAACTCTTTGCACCATGACTTTAATTTTATTACGTTTTACAAGCTCACTAAATGAAAGAACACAAAAAACCCCCAACCAACGTGATAGCTATCACATAACACACTGACAAATGTCCTCCTCTCAGCTTCAATACATGACATCAATTTATTTATTATTTTATTTATTTAATTTAATTTATATCCCGCCCTTCTCCCAACGGGACTCAGGGCGGCTCACAACATATTTAAAACAAAGGCATATATACAATCCCCCCCTGTAAAACCGAATTAAACCAAATTTTAAAGTTGTGTTATTTCGAATTCCTTAAAATGAACCCAGTATAAAATCCTCCCTAGGCCAGGTCCGCTTGC